AGTTGAAGCATCTGCTGCATTGTTAACAAACAATTGAAGTTTCTAGATCTGGGAGGTTTGACATCTTTTTCATTTAAAATTATCTATCTGTCTGTCTATCTGTCTGTCTGTCTATCTATCTATCTGTCTGTCTGTCTGTCTGTCTGTCTATCATCTTCCAAGTATTACCTTCAAAGTGTTTTATGAGTTATCTGTTGCTAGGAATGGGGAAAAAATGTACTATGTGGTTTGTTTTAGAGTACTATCGTACACATTTCTATTCAGAAGCAAGTACCATTAAATTTAACGAGACTTACTCCTAGGTTAAGTGAATATAGGATTGCAATCTGAGGCATTATGAAAGAGAAGAATGGAATTAAACACACAATTGTCATTTTAGAGATGGACTTGTGTTTAATGTAACAAAGTTCTGGCCTCAACATTTGCTCAGATGTACTTTTTGGCAAAAGTGCAATCCGCAACTAGTGCAAGTTTTTGTGTGGCAACTGTTATATTAAAATTTAAATTATTTCTAGTAATAAAAACGTTGCTTTAATAACTTCAGAAGCAAATAAATGCTGGCAGAAAAAGAGAACTTATTTTGAAAGAAGAAGATCTTAGTAATTCTCTAGAGAAAGAAAGAAATACTGCATACTTTGTGCAGAAGCAAAGCATGGATTGCGCTTTATTTCTGTGTTATACAGGTTACTCTCAAAGGGTTAGACAGCTTGATTATAAGAAAATAGTGTCATAATATAACCTTTGTATTAATGGCAGTAAAATATGGGAGATGCTTTTTAAACCTGTGTTTGGCTGATCTTTGGGGCCATAAAAGGAAGCTGCAGTTCATGCAACAATAACTTTTACCGATAGCAGCAGCCGGATATTAGAGTCCTCAGATGTAAATTTTATGAAAAAGAACATTATTATGAACTTTGCAGACAGTTATTATGTCTCATTTTCAGCTGTTTAGCACAGTTCCGAAGAGGTTTCAGCTAATGAATGCAAAATGAGATTTAAAGTTATTAGAAAGCTCTTAGTTTGAGTTTAGCATTGACAGGTTAGCAAATTACACACACACACACACACACACACACACACACACACCTTTGACAGGTTACATCTTATGGTCAACTGGTGATAAATGTCGAAAAAAATGTAAGATTGTTTCCCCTTACACCAAGCCAAAAACATTTGTTTACCATGCCATGACCCAACCATTCTAAGTAGTTTTGCTGTATTAAAAAGCTAGGGCTGAATTAGGTGTTGGGAGTGCAGCAAAGTAACTGAAATATTAATTTCCTTACATGCCAACCTCTGACTGACTCTCTCTGACCATATTCTCAGCATATCAATTTTCGCTGTGTGAACTGACCACTTAATGAGTATTCAGGTTCTGTAACAACAGCAAACAGGCATAAACTTTGTACCTATTGCTTCTTAACAATTTTTAGCCTATTCATGCCTGAGGGGAGTGTGGCCCAATATCTTGGTAACACAGTACATATAAACTTTGCCCTAGTTGTATGGGATCTTCATATCCTCAAGCCGCTCCTTTATAAATGAGTGAATATTTTTTTTCCTCATAGAAAACTCATGTTGCTAGTTGCTACGGTAAGATTTGAGAGCTCCCTGTATCTGTTCTGTTGTTTAAAAGTATCTCTCAAAAAAGCATGTCTTGAATAGAAAGGAATTTATTATTAAATAGCATTAGCAATAGTAGTTCCCTTCTACAGCCTGTACCTACTAATAGTAGACTCTCCTGAACCTTCTCGTCTAGTTCCTTCAAACCCAAAAGGGAGATGTACAGTCACAAGTAAATAGTTTTAAGCACAACACATTCCTAAACTGGCTAAGAGAGTGCTAGACTTATTAATTCCCCACCCTATACAGTCGTACCTTGGAAGTCAAATGGAATCCGTTCGATTTCCAAAACGTTCGAAAACCAAAGTGCGGTTTCTCCTGCAGCCAATCAGAAGCTGTGGAAGCCCCATCAGACGTTTGGCTTCCAAAAACAGTTCGCAAACTGGAACACTCACTCCTGGGTTTGCAGCGTTTGGGAGCCAAAATGTTGAAGAGCTAAGCTGTTCAAAAACCAAGGTACGACTGTATTTCTTTTATATGTGGATTCAAGATTTTCTGCTTTTAATAGTACATCAATAACAGCAAGACAATGCGCTCCCTACCCCGCAAGTAGTGGAAAGTTCCAGTAGCGATGCTACAGGGTTTAGACCCTTTGAATGAGCACTGGGGACTTACGGTGTCTTTGTGATATTAGTTTTATTTTACAAATATATAAGCAGCCTGTGTTGGAAGCAAACATGCACTCCTAAACAGGGAGCAGATCTTCTAAGTCTGTATCCACAAACCCTGTACCCTCACTGAATTTCATACTTTTTCCTGTAAGACCTATTGCAGTCGTTAAGAGTCGTCAACAGGCTCATCACAGCTATCTGCCAATCACCCATTCCCACCACCCTTCTGAGTAATACCCCTCCCCACCTTCTCACTATATAGAAGGATCTGGCAACTTCTGTTTCAGTGTATCTGAAGAAGTGTGCATGCACACGAAAGCTCATACCAAGAACTAACTTAGTTGGTCTTTAAGGTGCTACTGGAAGGAATTTTTTGTTTTGAATTTCATACAACGCACTAAACACGCCAACACACATCTCAAAACTCTGTCATTCTTTGTTGGATTCTCTCTCCCTTCAAACTGAAAAACCTGGCTCCAAACTGTTTCAGTGCCTGCACAACTCATCTCTGAAGGATGTAAGGGCCAGATCCTAGTCCAATCGGGGACGGGGGGTGGGCAGGAACAACCTATAATCAATTAGGATTACTCGACAAAATTCTCAGCCACCCGTTCACCATGCTTAAGATGACCAAACTCAGAACTGTACTGATGGTTCCTGTTCCACATATGGGCAAACCTTCAGCAATTTTTAAAAAAAGAAATTGTAACAGAAGAATAAAAATGATATGCGGAAGGAACGGATTAATAAATTGCATGAGAATTTTACAGCAGATAGGGACCAGCATAACTAACGGAGCTTGCGAGCTGGAACGATGCATTAATTCATTTTTTATTTTTAAATGTCTCTATATAATGCTTCAGGATGCATTAACTTAAGTTGCTCTTCTTTCAGGCTTTATTTAGGCCATGAAAACCACTCTGAAATTAATAAAACTAATAAACAAAAGCAAAACAAAACATTAAACGGATGAGAAGGTAACAGACCTTACTTGTGGTAGAGAATCTTTTTTTTAAAAAAATATTCTTACTCACTTGGAACACTACACAGACGATCAGTATTCCACCTCTATCAAATCATAGAATTATAGAGTTGGAAGGGGACCCTGAGGATCATCTAGTCCAACCCCCAGCAATGAAGGAATATGCAATTATCCCATTTGGGGATCAAACCTGCAACCTTGGCATTATCACCACCACCCTCTAACCAATTGAGCTAGCCAGGCCATACGTTGAGATATAAGGCATTCTATTCACAGACCTCCTTTCTAGCCTCTATTCTTGAATCTCAGTACAGTGGTACCTCGGGTTAAGAACTAAATTCGTTCTGGAGGTCCGTTCTTAATCTGAGGTACCACTTTAGCTAATGGGGCCTCCCGCTGCCGCCGCACGATTTCTGTTCTCATCCTGAAGCAAAGTTCTTAACCCGAGGAACTATTTCTGGGTTAGCGGAGTCTGTAACCCGAAGTGTCTGTAACCTGAAGCATCTGTAACCTGAAACATCTGTAACCTGAGGTACCACTGTAGAAGTACAAATCTGGATATACTGTATGTCATTTTGCCTTTCTTTTTTCTGAGGCAGTGCCCTTTGTGAGGAATTCCCTGCTCCACTGTTCCTTTCTCCTCTATTTGTGTTCCACTGGCATTTGAACGCTCTTTTTAAAAAAGGAGAAAAAGCCTTCGATTCTGCTGTTGATCAATTTAATTAATTTATCATCACCTCCAGTTTCTGTGTTCTTTGTGTCCTGTGGGGTTTTTTGTGTGTGCTGCTTTTAGCTTTTTTTTGCAACTGCTTTAATGATAATAGTATTTTGGTTTTGACCTTTGTGGTTTTATACTTCATTTGCAACCCCGTCTTGGAGTCAGAAAACAGGATACTTTTCAAACGCAGGAGAAAAGCAGGATGCAATATTTTTCTATAAACAAAATAACTAAATTAATTCATATTACGTTTAATATTAAACGGCTTGTGGTTTGGGGAAGAACTGCAGCTTGGTGGTCCAGTAAATGCTTTTCATGAAGAAGGTTCCAGGTTCAGATCCTGACATCTTCAGATAAGGCTGGGAAGACTCCTGCCTAAAACTCTGTGGAATTGCCGTCAGTCAATATAAAGATACTATCAAGCTAGACAGATCCACGATCTGACTTGTATAAGGCAGTTTTCTATACTTCTGTGAGTTGCTGACCAGGCAGTTCTCAGCCTGATCTAAAGCCTGTCAGAAAAGCTTACAGCATACTAAATGTGGAATTTCTATCAAGCACACAAGGGCTATTGTCAATGTAATCAAAGGTTACCTTTGCTGAAGATAACTTTTGGTGAAGAGAGATTATACCAGGTGTTGCTGCAGAAGCCATCATTGTAAAAATTTCTCTTAGGTCACGGTATTGATCAAATGCATAGTTGAGTAAAAACAAGATGAAACAGGACTAGTATTTCAGCTACTAAAAGGAGTCGAGGACCCTCCTACTGCATCAACATGTGAATATGTAAAGCCGTTGGACAGCAAAAATTCCAGTCATGAGTTATTCAAGCATCTCTTCCAAGAATTTTACCCCAATGATTATTTTTTAAAAATTGTTTTCAACAACTTTTAACAGTTCCATGCATAATTGCATGGGGGGGGGGCACTTGGAGCAGCATTTTCCATATTAAATTAATAATAAAAGGTATATGCAAATACTGTGTTGCAGGTGTCTGAAAGTCTGCAAAGGGAACTGACTCAGGCAGAAGCACACTTCATTTTTAAGTCTGAGTGTTAAACCTTACCTGTTTAGGTATTCGAAAAAGGGTATTCTTAAAGAATATATCTTTGGCCTGGCTCCATGTTCCATCAATGATAATGATCACATAGGGATCAGGTGAGCTCAAGTCGACCTCTTCCAAATTCGCTGCTCCAGCTCCAGGATATAATATTAAGGTATTTTTATTTCTGCACACAGATGCCAGCTCAGGGTACCTACAGAAATATTGAAAAAGTGACTTTAGTGTTTTCTTTCTTTCTGATGAGTACAAATATAGAACTTGCTTGTCTTTTTCAATCCTGCCTATCCCATTTCACCTCATGATAAACCTGGATTCTAAGTATCCACACATATGAAATCTGTTTAACATACTTAGCCCCACTGGTTTAGGAAACTCCAATTCTTCATTCATCGGAATGAAACTACTTATTTACAATCTTCCCCAAATAATTCCACCCAACACTCTCAAGGACTACTTAAATGCACAGGGAAAGAAACCTGTGTATTGCACTCCTATTAACTTTGTGAATGAGACTGCAGAAAACTGTTAGCCTTTGGAGGCAGAACAATAGTGGGGAGCAAGGAGCAGTGTGATGGACCAGACTTCCCCAGGAGAGGGATGGGAAACATGCAAACCAGCTCTGCCAAACCCTCCTTTTTTGCTGACTTCCCCACTGTTAGCAAGCAGGTATCTTCTTTCCTTGGAGATGTGTGGCACTGTGGGTTAAACCATAGAGCCTAGGACTTGCCGATCAGAAGGTCGGTGGTTCGAATCCCCACGACGGAGTGAGCTCCCATTGCTCGGTCCCTGCTCCTGCCAACTTAGCAGTTCGAAAGCACATCAAAGTGCAAGTAGATAAACAGGTACCGCTCCAGCGGGAAGGTAAACGGCGTTTCCGTGCACTGCTCTGGTTCGCCAGAAGCGGCTTAGTCATGCTGTCCACATGACCCGGAAGCTGTACGCCGGCTCCCTCAGCCAATAAAGCGAGATGAACGCCGCAACCGCAGAGTCAGTCACGACTGGACCTAATGGTCAGGGGTACCTTTACCTTTTTATCTTCTTTCCTTGGCTGCCTTCATTAAACAGCTCTTTGATCTTTGGAAGTATTATTTTTTAATGCCCCAGTCAACCCTCTCTATTGGCTAGACTTGGAAGGCAACTGGGTATGGGGTTGGGTTGTTCAAACTCAAAAAAGACAATTTTCAACTTATGGTTTTTACAGGGTAACACATTCTTGAAAAATATGTTCTTAAAGAAACACCTATTTTAAATAATAATTGAACAATTCCCCATTAGAGCATAATAACAATACAAGGCAAACTGATCCTAAGCGCAGACAAGACTGTGTTTATCAATATCCATCTGTTTCAGAATTCAGGGACTGGTTCCATTTGCAATCTTCTCTTTAGGCTTTTCCTTTTACATTGCTCCAATTGTGCTAGCTTCCTGTGCCCCAACTCTTTCTCTCTACCCTATAGCATTTTTCTCCCTCTCTCTTTTTCTTCCCTATATATAAATTATTTCAACTCCCTCCCTAAATGTCTTAGTCAATCAGAGTGGGAAGTGGAACCTTGGTATAGTTTCTATTTCCCCAAACATCAAATTCTCGGGCTTAACTTTGAACCCTCCTGTATAATGTAGACCTTTTCGAAGAGAAGAGCCCTTAAAAAAAAAAAAAGGAAAAAAAGAGGAAGCAGCCAACCATTTTATAAGAAAGAAGAAAACATAAAATGGTGGAACAGTTTCATTCCTTCAGAGGCAGCAAAAACCATGTATGGACATTAGGGAGTGGTGGTTACTATAAAATGATCCAACGGCTGCATTCAGCTCTTAGATTTAGGAACACTGAACAATGCATTAAACACATTTAATGCTGAATTGTTAATTCATTTCTATGCCAGGATGTCTGCATTCTCATCAACACAGCCAAGATAGGGGAGGAGAAAGGCATGCCTCCCGCCCACTCTAGCTAGTTTCTGTGACAACTTATAGTCCTAGCTAGTAGTGGACGGTATGGTTCAGCCGCAGCAGTCAACTGACCTTCTGACAGAGTCACTGTTGATTACTGAGAGGGAAAGGGGTGAGGAAATAGAGAGGTCAGTGAGATCAGCAGGATCGCTTTGCCAACCTCCCTGTTGCCAGGGGAGGAGGGAGGAGGTGGGGGTGTGGTCCGCCCACTGAGAGGGGTGACAAAATGCCAGGCAGCACTCACCGTGGGGCCTGCAGTGGGAGAGACGCGGTGGCTTGGGCACACACAGGCTCCGCGCTGCCCAAACGGTCTGCCAGCTGCATCTCTCCCCCCCAGCTGAAAGACGGCTGAGTGGGAGGAGGCAGGCAGACCCCAGAGGCCCCGTGGTGCGCCCTGCCCCTATGGGTGGCTCACACCACCCCTGGGCAGCAGCAGCACAGCTGTCGGGAGCTCGGGGTAATAATAATAATAATAATAATAATAATAATAATAATAATAATAATAATAATTTATTTATACCCCGCCCATCTGGCTGAGTCTCCCCAGCCACTCTGGGCGGCTAAGTAAGCACTGCCACCTCAATATGTCAGCTGCTACTTAGCTTACATTAAAATCGTAGGTTTACAGAGTTGGAAGGGACCACGAGGGTCATCTAGTCCAAACCCCTGCAATGCAGGAATCTTTATGCCCAATATGGGGCTCAAACCCACGACCTGAGATTAAAAGGATCATGCTTTACCAACTAGGAAGAGATACTTAACAGACCCGGAGAAGGCTATCAACTTAGCAAAAGAAGCTGATCTGATAATTTTAGAAGTCCTTCTTATTCACAAGCCAAAGGCTTGCAACTACAGAATCACTGAGCTGAGGGAGATCCTGAGAAGACATTCATCCATGACCCAATCGTACAGTAGTACAGCGGAACCTCGGGTTGCGAACGTGATCCGTGCGGGAGGCACGTTCGCAACCCGCAGCGCCACGTCTGTGCATGCGCAGGTCATGATTTGCCGCTTCTGCGTATGCCCAAAGCTCAATTTAGCACTTCTGTGCGTGCCCAAGCGCCAACACCCGGAAGTAACCCGTTCCGGTACTTCCAGGTTTGGCGCGGTGTGCAACCCGAAAACGCGTAACCTGAAGAGTCTGTAACCCAAAGTACCACTGTATTAACTATTAAAATAAAAGCTTCAATGGTCTGCGTTTAACATAGAGATTACTTAAATTAACAAAAAAAAATCTGTCCTACTGTATCGACCTATGCAGGAGTGAATTCATAGAAGACTGGAACACCGTTATGAAACAATGCATGAAACAAGGATATTGCAATACCAAAGAGTGGCAGGTGTTTTAATAGTAAATCCCACTTCAATCGGAGTGGCTTCATCCTTTTTGAAGTTCCCAAGACTCAAGGAATCACAGGGAGGGGGAACCCCAAAATTCAACATTCCCCTGCCCCTCCAGATCAGAGCCAGATTTGTAAAGATCTTACATCTCGGGATGTAAAGGGGAAAATAAAAGTTGCATTCTATATGCACATGTGATTTTCTTACAAAGAAAGGACTTTCCTCTTGAGCCTTATGTGCTTCAAAGAGGCTGAGAAAAGCCTGGCAGCTGCTTCAATGTAAACTGAGGACAAACTGAAAGCGTTGATTGAGGCAGAGGTACTCCACTTCAAGCATTTTCCAGCCGCTAAGGACTGAGCATTACTAAAAATAAATGAAAGTGGGGTTTTTCGCCTTTATCGTAATCCTCAACTGATATGAGAAGCCAGAAGGAAATGTCTCCACAGAAGTGGTGCATGTTTCACAGAACTGGTCTACATACACAGGCACGTGCTCCCTTCTTTGGTCCTCTCAACCCCAAAATGAACATACTTTTCACAGGCAACCTCGGCCCTCCAGATGTTTTGGGACTACAACTCCCATGATCCCTAGCTAACAGGGCCAGTGGTCAGGGATGATGGGAATTGTGGTCCCAAAACATCTGGAGGGCCAAGGTTGCCTATGCCTGAGTTAAAGAGTCTAGATTTTTGATTTTTAAAATAACACATCTCTATAGGTACCAGATGAGCCTCAGCAGGCAGAATTCATAAGTGGGAAGCAACAACTGATGAGGGCCTCTCCCTAACTGCTACCTACCCCATCTCAGACAGTATGGAAACCATGCAGAATGGTTTCCAAAGATCTTGGTGCAGAGCCAGGTTGATATGAGTATAAATGGTCCTTCATACATTTGTGGATGGTGTGTTGTGGCAAATTGATAAGAAACAAGACTCCTTTGCTGATATGTCAGGAGAAGAACTTCCATTTAAGAATGCATACAGATACTTGTAGGGCGGTACGAGAATCTTCAAAACCCATCTTGAAAGAGAGATTAAAATTCTAAGTCCTTTTTGTTTTGGAAGCCATATTTTTATTATATAGAACTGCATTTTTCTTTGCCGCTTAGAATGCTGCTCCACTTTTAAGACAGGGCTGAGACGGCCATGCAATTTCATCTAAGAAAGGACAGGGATTTCATGCTATTCCGAGATATATTTTGCTTTCCTGAATCTAAAACTAAAATGTTGTCTGTTGTAATGCTAGGTGTGACTACAGACCAAGATTCCAGGTTACTTTTATCAGACTTACATTTCATAAAGAAAACCCCATATTATATTTGCCATTCTCTTCTATTTTTAGGCATCTCTTTTTGGCAAAAAGGAAACAAACTTTGATAACATAGATAGGGATTACTCTCTGCACCCTATCTCTAAAGTTATATTTTTCCTAGGATAGTTACCATACTTATTGTCTATGGCCAATGCACTCAGTAAAATACATCACATAATTAGTTGGCACCATCACCACAAAACTGCACTTGAGAGCTACATTTATTTTATTTTATTTAGATTTCCTCTATAGGCAGGAGCATTCCAAAAAATGCTGCTTCCACCTTGAATTTGGAGAGGTAAACTCTTGCCCATTCTGCAAAGTCTCCGCAACTTTTCAATGTGTCCCCCCACCAAACTTGTTCATCTCCAATACATTTTTGTTGTATTTCAGCTGTTCAGTGCTGCAAGTTTATAGAAAACTTTTCAGATTTATTTTGCAGGTTAATCTGTGATGAATTTTGAAGATTTAGATTTGTTTTGCTTTTCGTCTGCACAAAGTATGAAGATTCTGTTCTCGTAAGTACCTCTGAAACATCAATAGCATTTTAATTTATTAAAATTAAAATTGAAGGTCTTGGGGGGACCTTTAAAAAGATGCCAAAATAATAAAAGGAGTGTGTGTATGTGTATGTGTGTGTGTGTGTGTGTGTGTGTGTGTGTGTGTATATATATGATATCAGAAAAACAAATGGGCTTATTTTAGCTTCATAAAAATAAAAATGAAGAACTATGATAATATAGAGAAATGGCTTTCAAAGAATTTAATTAGCACAAAAGTTTGTTTAACCAAGTGCAAAATCACCCTTAAAGCTCCAATAAAATAACTTAATGACATGAGAAATTGATTATTTTATTACTAATCTCTTGGTAGTGTTTGCTTTAAAGTACAGTGGAACCTCAGTTCCCGAACGCCTCCGTTGTTGTACGTTTCGGTTCTCGAGCACCAAAAACCTGGAAGTAAATGCTTCCGTTGTCGAACGTTTTTCAGAACCTGAACATGCGACATGGCTTCCACTTAGTGCAAGAAGCTCTTGCAACCAATGAGCCTCAGTTTCCAAATGGATTTCAGAAGCCAAACGGATTTCATTAGAGAACCGAGGTACCACTGTATTAGGATACTCTACTGTCCAACTGAAAAAGGATTGACAATTTTAAAAATGCTTGTAAAAATATCTCTTAAAAGAGTTAAATAAATCCTAGGATAATAGTTTCACTACTTCATCAGAACTTTCATGATGAATAATAGAACAAGCACTTGGCCAAAAATACACAATGATAATTAAATAAAGTATTATACATTACAGGATATAGCTTTATTTATTTATGGAATACTTTAAATTAAGCATGACGGTAAATAGATAAAATGCTTGGTGTTTTTCCCCCCTGTGCTATGAAGTTAATAACATTTCTTTGAAAAGATTTCTGCCAGAAGATTACACTGAGCAATAGTAGGCACACTATGAAATCTAAAATTTGATCTTGAGGTGCATGCTATGCTGCTTCAGTGTGCCTTTGGGCTGGGGCGTGATTTGCTTCATTTCTCTGTACTTCTCAAAACATCTTATCTTTCCTGCTCATACCATCACATTTATTATACCTCCAGCCCTTGAACAGCGCCTTTTCATTCAGTGGTTGTGACTCAGCGTCGGAATTCCTCAGGTGGCAATTCTCTAAATAGTGACAGACTAGGGAGTGCAACAGGGACGCGGGTGGCGCTGTGGGTAAAAGCCTCAGCGCCTAGGGCTTGCCGATCGAAAGGTCGGCGGTTTGAATCCCCGCGGCGGGGTGCACTCCCGTTGCTCAGTCCCAGCGCCTGCCAACCTAGCAGTTCGAAAGCACCTTCGGGTGCAAGTAGATAAATAGGGACCACTTACCAGCAGGAAGAAAAACAGCGTTCCGTGTGCTGCGCTGGCTCGCCAGATGCAGCTTGTCACGCTGGCCACGTGACCCGGAAGTGTCTGCGGACAGCGCTGGCTCCCGGCCTATAGAGTGAGATGAGCACACAACCCTAGAGTCTGTCAAGACTGGCCCGTACGGGCAGGGGTACCTTTACCTAACTTACAATTACGAGTAACTGCTCATAGAAGAAATGGAAGTTAAACTATCAGTGCTCCTTACCTGTCTTCACTGAAGCGACGACCAATCAAGACTTTGCATTTTTCTTCGGGTAGACAAGCAGCCAGAAGGGGTACAGTTCGTAGTACTCTACTTTCCTTCAGTTCATATGGTTATAAAAACAAAACGAAGAGATTTATGTCATTCTTTGAACACACGCAAAACTCGATTTGCTTGTATTATAAACCTGAAAACACTACGACTCACAGGAAAAGGAAGAAAACCTCTAAAAACCAATATCCCTTGACAAAATAATGGTATACCTATCCCCAAACAATTGGGTCCAACCTATTACCAAGCAAACATATACCTGAACTTGAAAATGTACAAAGAAGGAAAACAAAAATATTCAGAAAATGAACCACATATACCTGTATTTGTATTTACAGTATTTGTGCAATGCCTAATAATCATGTGATGTGAAGCTTGCAACAATAATGTGTGCTGATTGGGAAATATGATATACAGTGTAATATAGCTATTTCTAGCTGACAGAAAAAATAAAGTGAAGGAAAATTATTTCACACTTAAAATCAGAAATATCTGCAAACCAATAATCAAAAGAGCTACAATGAAACAAAGAAAGTATGTACTAAACTGCACTATTTTTCTCATCACAGGAGAAAACAGCAAACAGCTTGAGCCAACACAAAACAAGTAAGCCTTAGCATATAAGGTTAGAGACTGTCGCTGAGGTTGGTAACAGCTTTAAAAGTGACTGAATTTCACAGGGCTTAAGCCAGTTTTCACTTGCGTTATTTCCTGTTTGCTGAGCTAACTTGCTAGTTGAACCTTTGCATTTCCCACAACCTTACTCACCTCTGCTGGGTGCTGGATGATATACAAACAGGTGGAGACTTTCAGTGGGTGGACTGGCAAGAATGGACACAAACACACCTTCTCAGGACGCCTATAGGATAGAAAGGAGTAGAAATATATATATTTATATATCAGGAGTTAATGTATAATGCAGTTTTATTATGTAACAAGTGCATCATTGCCTGAGTGCTTTTCTGCTATGTTTTAAAAACCCCAAACAACTGTGTGGTTCTGTAGGCGCTCTAAAACAAGCAAACAGACTCTTAGGTGAAAATTCAGAAACACTGAACAGTTGGAAATATTTCACTTGTACCACATGTACACGCACCCTCCAAGCATAGTAATTTTTAAACGTGCCTGAACACACCAACTTCCACAGATATAAGACCATGTGTTCAGAAACCATACCGATCATTTAGGGTTAATCTACAGAGCACTGGTTCTGCTCTTAGGTTTGTCATTGGGGATTCTACAAGAGAAGAGCTCAGAAGTCTGCATCTACCATTCATTCATTCTTCACACCAGAGAAACTAAATGAGGATGAATGGTTCCAGCAACGTGTTCAAATCCTTGCCACAAAGGTCATCATGTAGCTTTAAGCAAGGCACCATCACTCAGTATGGCATAGATGTCAGCACATTGTAGTGCCTGAGGTAGAATAGAAAATAGCATCTTCTCTCCCAAGTCTTGGAGCATAGTATCCAAGGTTGGCCAAGTTTTCTTCCTCCGAGACGGAAAATCCCACAAGCACTTTCACCCAGAAGTGAATAATTACATCAAAAATAAATTATGTAACTCACAATTTGCTCACTTTTCATAACACACAAAATCACTCTGCCCAATAGCAGGGTCGGCCCTGATAGTCCTACAGAAAGGAAGTCCATAGTGTCTTAGACGTTCTTAAATTTATATCCCACTTTCTTTTGGTGGAACTCCAAGTGATGTACAGAGTTGCTATGACTTTGTTGAACTGTATTAATCATTTTGATAAATAATATCTTATATTTTCTGATATTTTGAATTACGATGACTTTATGGAATTGCACTAATCATTTTGATGAAATTTGTTGTTAATTTTCTTTATTGTGTTTGACAGTATAGCGGCTGTGAGCCACTTTGAGCTTGGAATTTGTCACTGGAAAAATGGAATACAAATATTAAAATCAAATATAAATCTCCCACCCAGGCACAGAACAGACACAGAGGTACTTCAGTAAGGTATTAAGAGTCTGTTGTACATCTGGAAGGAGCACCTATACCTCTAAGGGTCTTCTAGTACATTTGCCCGAGCGGGAGGGGGTGGTACAAAATGCTGCAGATGGCAGATCTACAACTTTCCAGCATGGGTTTTTAGGGAGCACAGAAAGAGGTAGGTGTGAAATTGACATTCCTTCCCCTGGCAGAAGTGCTTCCACTCACCCAGCAGATTATTTGGATCCAATCCAACGTCTGTAATATTAGGAAGCAGATGTTTCTGATTGAATGATGGCAGCTCATTTGTGGTTCAATCAGAAGTCATGTCACATATTGAAGGAAATCAATTTCACTAAGCAGTAAAAGATACTTAGGAGTTCAACAGCCCAAAAGAGAGAAAGTGAGAGAAAGCCAAACGCTACAAAGTCTGAAGATCAACACACACCTTATGAATTCCTATAGTAACTTCTATAGTAACTGCACATTTTCTGTTCAAATACAATCTCATTAAAGAAACATCCAGTGGTGTTAACTATTTATGCTTATACTTACATTAGACAATTAAAATTATATTTGTTTACCATTCAAGTAATCTCAGTTTGCAATTATGGCAACAGGCAGTTATTATATGTTCATAAATTATCTACACATCTCCCCCTCCCCAACATATATTATTCAAAACCAAAGATCTAGCATGAAGATTTGCAAGAAGTCAATTCACTGTTTTACTAACTTTTAGAATGTATGAAGAAACAACGCACAATGGCTCTTTTCTGTCTCTCATGCACACAAAATCAATATTAAATAACGTGATTTAATCAGTAGCATTGAGAAATAATCCATTAATGAAACAGCAGTATGAATCAAACCTTCCGCTTTGCTCAGATACTTGGGAGGATTTCGTGGTCTCCTAAAAAGAGAGAGCTGGAGTTCTCTAAACATGCATTTCCATTAAGTGGCCAGGTGACTCTGGAACCTAGACAGGCTTGACCTTAGGTAACTAGGATTTTATAGAGCAGACCCACACAGAAACTAACCGGCAAGCAGAAATCTCATTCACACCACTGCAATGTGTTCTTATCCTGGCATAAGCCCTCAGCCCAGTCAATGCCTGGCTTGCACATTTGCTAAGGGCAGCTTTCACAGAGATGGCTGTGGTCATCAATTTGAAATGTTACTTAAGCAAGGTAAAACATCAGCCAGGAGAAGTGGCAATGCAACAGAATACCTAGTTTTTTCAGGGGTGTGTAATCCTTTTCAGAATAGGCATACGCTTGGACTACAGATCGCACAGACCTGTCCTCAACATCTCAGTTACTGATGTTCCCAATCCTGGGAGAGGATTATAATTGCATTCAGAACTTTCCTTCAGAGCACTGTGGTGAACATGGGAAGGTCCGAAATGGAACCAGCAAGTGTGGGGCCACAACTTGTATCCTCCAGGTTTTAAGCCTACACACATTTGCCTTGAATGCATGGATACGGATAATGTTGAATAAGTCCCTTAACTGCTCGGAAGAGCTCCACTAGATGGTATAATGAAGGTGCCAGAGCAGGAATTCTTGGAAGCAGAGTCTTCTGACAAAGGAAGCCCTGAGGAGGAGATGGATACTCTCAGTGGTCAGCCCCATGTGGAGTCACTCTCAATGGAACCTGTATCTCTTCTCCTGAACCCCAAGGAGACACTCTGATTCTTGGTCCACAGGCTCCTCAGAGGTTCAGGAGAGACCTAAGGAGAAATCTTCATAGCTTGAAACTCCAGGACACAGAAGAAGGCAACAACTGTGAAGAAAGACACCAGGCCCTTTTACTGGCCAGATATAGCATTTGGGGATACAGTCTCTAGTTAATGAATACCTAACCCAGGATTTATGGATCTGCCAGTTGCTGCAGGACACCACATGGATACTTTCCTAACTCAGTTGCAGGATTACCGTATTGGCCTGAATATAAGCAGCACTTTCCACCCAAAATTCTGATCATGAAAAGTTAAAGTGCGGCTTAAATTTGTGAACTTACAAAAACCGGCTTTTACGATATCACTGTTGAAACAGACATACGGTAAGATGGAACAAAAAAATGTTTTATTGCTGAATTGCGAGCTTGAGACTGTTGTGCAATTAATTCTAATGCCATTCATCGCTTTCCCCATATTTTACAGTGCAGTATTGATTTTTTTATTTGCATTTACGGTGCAACGAACAGGTGTTTAACGCACTTGTGGGTCCTCTCTAGTGGGCACTCTCTAGATTTTCTTCTACATTTGCCATTTACAGGTGTGAATGCCTGCAGAATTTCAAGAGAACGGCTTATATTCGGGTATTGTCTCCCCCCCCCCTTGAATTTTAAAGGTGTGGCTTATTTGCTGGTGCGGCTTATATTCAGGCCAATACGTTACTGTGATTCTGAAATCCTCTCCATGGTTCTTCTCCAAGGTCCGGATCCTGCTATGTCTCACCTTCCTGTCTCTTTGGAATCCTGGGACTACTTCCTCATTTTGGCCATCACTTATCCATGGTGATGGCTGTCCTCATGGAACTGGACATTAAGGACAGGTGAAAAATGTCTTCACCACTGTCACCTCCACAGAGTAGGAATTCAAATGGGCTCTAAGTTGTATTTGGCTAAACCAGGGATGAGAAACCTGTGGCCCTTCAAATGCTGTTGGAGGAACTCCCTTCAGCCCCAGTTAGCATGATGTAAATTCATAAATTCTTTGGTTCTAAGCTTTGGTCTATTGTCCAAGTGCTAATTCTTCCAGTATAACTTACCCTATGGCAAGTGAGTTAAAGACTCAAAAGGATATGTGTTAGTTGGGTTCTTGAGTACAAGTGCGCATAGTAGTACCGTGGTACCTCAGGTTACATACACCTCAGGTTACATACGCTTCAGGTTACAGACTCTGCTAACCCAGAAATAGTGCTTCAGGTTAAGAACTTTGCTTCAGGATGAGAACAGAAATCGTGCTCTGGCGGCGCAGTGGCAGCAGGAGGCCCCATTAGCTAAAGTGGTGCTTCAGGTTAAGAGCAGTTTCAGGTTAAGAACGGACCTCTGGAACGAATTAAGTACTTAACCTGAGGTACCACTGTATTTCTCATTTGTGCCATCATTTTTGCTCTGTTTATGGTCCTTGCTGAGTTAAATAGCACAGCACACCAGGATGTCACTATCCTAGAAATTCATAGTGAGGGAGTTTCATATGCAAGTAGGCTACATAGCATGGCTGGCTGGCATAGTCTGGAAAAACTGGCACAATTTCTGTTACGTGTATCTAAATTCCAGGGAGAGTAGGAAAGATGCAATCAGACCTAACGATGCATCACAGACAACACTTTTCATGGTCTTATATGGATTGTAAATGTTTCCCTGAAGTGGTACGAAATGGCCAGAAACAGTAGGCATTTGGAATTCCTCTACGGTGGCATGAATTATCCAGATTTGGGCCATAGTCAGCCCATGGGCCTTATGATGTGGAGGCCTGTTCAATAATATTGATCGCTGCTTCCTTCACACTGCAGTAAATATTGATTAAAGCCTTTGTAAATTATACAGCTTTCAGTTGAGCCAATTCTAGCTTGTAATAGTCAGGTATGATGACATTCATAGATAAGAATTTTATATTCTCCCCCACTCCTGAAAGATTTTTCTTCAATATGATATAATATGAATGTCAAACAATGATAAAAAGTGTGTCCTGTTGTGTCCAACCAGTTTCCATCTTGTTTCCCTTTCTTTCCCAGAAGGCTCCCTGTTGTGGAGATTCCATCTAAAATCAGCATAAGTGCAACAGTCATTCCAACACTATTGTTTCTTTTCGTTCCATCTTCATCGTACATGTTTGATATGTACAGAACGTCTGGCTGATGTTGGCAGCAAGATGAAAGCAAGTGAAAATGA